GGGAGAAAGATGAGGCTTTCTGCTCCCGTAAAGACTTATAGCCTCGGAAACTCTGTTCAGGGTCGCTATGGGTCAGAACCGACTCAACGGCACTTAACAACAACAACAACAAGATAGTATAAAGTATCATTGCCTAGAGAACGTTCTTTTAAAGAAGGCTGGAAGAGGAAACATCTGCCACAATGTGAGGCCTTGGAAATAAATCCTCCAGAGGAATTCTCATGTTATCTGGCGACACCAACTGGACTTATTTAGTCATTTAATAATCACTGAATCATTCTCTTGTTCTTCCAGAAATGTTTTCATCCTGCATCAAATCATCCAAGTTGCAGTTATCAAATCAGATGAGCAATCTACTGCAAATTGCAACACAAATGCCACTAATTCCAACCAAAATGAAACTGCATCATGATCTAATAAGCTCTGTCCCAACATCCTCATGAAGCAATCCCTACCCCATCCCCAGACTTTTCTTGGCTGTCCTGTTTTCTGCTGCTGCTGTTATATCCACCTGCCTTTTGCAAAGAATCTATTTCAGGCATTTATTCTTTTTTTGTTCACCACGAGTTGACTAAAAACCAGTGTGGAGAACATTGACTATTAACCATTAGCTTCATGATGCTAATTTTTCAATACACCTTTTTTTAAGAAAAGGAAAAAGGCAGAACTCCTGGGCTACTTGATCTTACCTGTCCAAAGCAATGGCAGGGAAGCTGAGGATAGTCACGGAACAGAAGACCTTGTGCAAAAATTTGACGACCTTGCAGAAGCCCATGGTGTAGATCCACCAGCAACAGTGAGGACTGGTGCTGAGGATGATGTCAAAGGGCACGCAGACCAGGTTGGCACAAATTCCTGAGCAGGCCAGGTTTTTAATGAACCTGTTGGTGACAGATTTGAACACGGTTGTGCGGCAAGTTGACCATAACACCATGAAGTTTCCTGGCCAGATATACAAAAAAAAAAAAAATGTTTTTAATAAAAAGAAAGAAAATGCATTTGAAAAACCGAAAAGCCACTTTGAACGTTGGTTTCAAAGATTTGATTTAAATTCTTATATATAATTATATTGTCAATTTAGGTGCAATTATTAAATCACTTAGGTACATTGTTGTTGTGAAGTGCTATCAAGTTGGTTCCAACTTATAGCAACCCTGTATAGGGTTTCTGAAGTGCAGCTGGTGTGTTTGAACAGCTGACCTTTCAGTTCAAACCAACCTTGCAGTCGATTCTGACTCATAGCCACTCTGTGTGGGGTTTTAGAGGAGCAGCTGGTGGGCTGGAACTGTAAACTTACTGATTTGCAGTGCAGTGCTGAATACGAGTATATTAGATGATTCAGTCTCATCTGAGTGTATACAATTTGCTGTAGCTGTTGTTGTCTTTGGTTGCTGGCGAGTCCATTTTTCACTCACAGCAGCCCAGATCCACTCACTGTGACAAAGTACATAGGACTGCAATGAGCCAAATGGACTCTACAGCAATGGGCTTGATTTGTTTGGTTTTCTGGGGTGGGGGTGGCAGAGGATGTTGACAGGAACACGTCACCAAGTCTTTCTTGCCCACATTTGCTGGATGGGTCCAAGCTACCAGACTTTCAGTTTAGCAAGCCAACATTTACTCATTATATCACCAGGGCTTTAAGAACAATTTGCTGGGCATTATGTAATCTTAGGCATTCTACTCACTTGTACCAAGGTTGTTACTGTATCCACATTGCCACTGTTTAAAACAGAAATACAATGCAAGCCACATATGTGCGTTAAAAGTTCCTAGTGCCCAGACTTTTAAAACAGTAAAACAAAACAGGATAAATTGTGGTAGTGTAGTGGTTATGAGTTGGGCTGCCAACCTTAAGGTCAGCAGTTTGAAACTACCAGCATTCCGCAGGAGAAAGATGAAGCATTCTGCTCCCATAAAGATTTACAGCCTCAGAAACCCTGCGCAGGGTCAGTCAGAACTGACTCCACGGTACTTAACAACAATCTTATATCTTCAAATACTACCATATCAACATGTAATCATTACTAAAAAAGAAACTGAGATATTTTACATTAAATTTTGTACTAAATCTTACAACACATCTCTGTATAATAAGCACTGTAAACCACAAGGTTGGTGGTTCAAGCCCACCAACCACTCAGCAGGAGAAAGATGAGGTTTCCTGCTCCCACAAAAGTGTACACAGCCTCAGAAACCCTATACAGGGTCACTACAACTCAAAGGTACTTAACAACAACAACAGTTTGGACTAGTCACCTCTCAGGTGTTCAATAGCCACATGTAGCTAATGAACACTGTATTGGACACTGCTGTTTGGGAGCAACAAAGACACAATTGAAGCATCTCTTTATAAACATTTTCTTCTGGTGGTCTCTTGGTCTTCCTCCTCCCATCCTCCCTTCTCCCTGTTCTGAGTCTCCAGTACTAGTCCTCTCTATATTTTCTCTAGAGCCTCTCTCTACATTAGATTACCCATTCCCATGACTTTCCACCATTGTGTCAATAGCTCTCACATTCCTGTCTCAAATTAGGCCGCCCATCTCAACTCTAGACTCAGGTCCAACTAAACTTTTCATTTCCCACTCACTCCTAACCCACCATACCTTACTACAACCCCAAAGGCCCTGCATGTTCTAATGCTTACCTGACTACACTCACACCTCTCTTCTGCTGGCTTGCTGGGCACTAACCACCTGGCCTTCTTTCTGTTCTTGAAGCATATCCATGTTGTCCCTGCCTCGGTGTCTGTGCACAATCTTTTTATACTGCCTAGCACTCTGTTTCCACTGCTTGCCTGTCTGTTCGTCGTACTGTGGTGGCTTATGTGTTGCTGTGATGCTGGAAGCACTGCTATTGGTTATTTGAGTATCAGCAGGTTCACCCATGACCAATAGGTTTCAGCCGAGCTTCCTAACTAAGACACACAGGAAGAAGGAACAGATGGACTACTACTGAAAACTAGTCACAGGACACCTTATGAAGAGCAGTGAAACAGGGTCAGAAGATAAATCCCTCAGGTTGGAAGATATGCAAAAGCTGACTGGGTAAGAACTGCCTCCTCAAAGTAGAGTTGACTTTAAATGATGTGGATGAAGTGAAGCTTTCATGGCTTTCCTTTACTGATAGGGCACGACTCCAAATGAGAAAAAAATGCTGCAAATGTAAGTTAATCATTGCAATCTAGAATGTACAAAGTATGAATTTAAGAAAATGAGAGATATAAAGATTAATATTCTAAGCATTCGTAAGCTGAAATGGACAGGTATTAGCCATTGTAATCTGATAATCATATGGTTTACTAAATATATGCCAGGAATGACAAATTGAATAGGAATGGTACCACAGTCATAATCCATTTCTCCATCAGTTGGGAAGGACATTGGTGTCTTTCAGGGCTTAGTGAAACCTCTGGCCAAGCGACTGTGAATTCATATTGTTGGAGCATTCATCATGTCTCCAGAGGGTGCAGCTTTCTATAACTTTGTAGTAGCTGAACCATTAAAGAAGGCATATGCAGAGTTCTACAGAAATTATGATTCTATGTAGGATTTTGAGGAAATGAGGAAAGCTGTCATTTTTCAAAGTGCAAAATGATATTGGAATATAAAGAATGTCTTTAGGTTGAATTCCATGAACCTTGTCACTGCCCTGTTACTGAACTATGAAACATGACTATGTGGGCTTGGTAAATAAGCAAATGCTTTTGGGGGAAAAAAAAAAAAGAAGAACGTATCAAGATCTATCTTGAAGTGCAATGCTATCGGTAATAGGATAACATCCAGGTGCCTACAAGAAAGACTAGCTAATATGACAATTATTCAAATTTACACACCAACCATTAAAGCCAATTATGAAGAAATTGAAGAATTTTACTAAATTTTTCAGTCTGAAATTGATCAAGCACACAATCAAGATGCAGTGACAATTACTAGTGATTGGAATTCAAAAGTTGGAAACAAAAAGGAAAGATCAATAGTTGGAAACTATAACGTTGGTGACAGAAATGATGCTGGAGATCACATGACAGAATTTTGCAAAAACCAATGACTTATTCATTGCAAATACCGTTTTTCAACAACATAAAAGTCAACTATATACATGAACCTCACAAGAATACACAGGAATCATATTGAATGTGGGAAGAGTCAAGGAAGAAACTCAATATCATCAGGCAAAACGAGGTCAGGGACAGACTGTGGAACAGATTGTCAATTGCTCATATGCAAATTCATATTTAAGCTGAAGAATTTTTTTTTAAAAGTCCATGAGTCAAAATGTGACCTTGAGTATATATCTCACCTGAACTCAAAAACCATGTCAAGAACAGATATTTTGAAATTTGATCTAACACAGAGTAGCTAATGACTGGAAGAAATAATGAAGTGAAGGAGCTGAACAGAAAATTTCAAAGGGCAGCTCAAGAAGACAAAGTAAGATATTATAATGAACTGTGCAAAGACCTGAAATTAGAAAACCAAACGAGAAAAACAGGCTCATAATTTCTTAAGCTGAAAGAACTGAACAAAAAATTTAAGACTTTACTTGTAATACTAAAGGATTTTCTGGACAAAATATTGAATGATATAAGAAGTACCAAAATAAGATGGAAGAAATACACAGAGTCACTGTACCAAAAAGAATTGAATGATGGTCAGTCATTTCAAGAGCTAGCATATGATCAAGAATTTATGGTATTGTCTTCTGCCTATAACTGATTGGAATACCTAAAATGGGGCTACAACGTGCCTAGTGAAAGAGGCTTCCTGCAGATGCTCTGCATTACATAAGACCATAGGTGGAATACTTAACCCCATCCAGAATCTTCTTAGGTGGGAAATTTCCACTGGAAAGGATAAGCAGACCAGCCTGGAGTGGTCTGAACAAAAGATACTTCTTGAAAGAAAGACCGACATGAAAAATACAAAACGATAATGGCAGTCTGACTGACTACTACAAGAACAAACAAGTTACTCGCCCAGGAGACATCAAGGCATGCAGTAGGGTCCCCTCAGGGCAAACCCCCTTCCAAGACTAAGACTCAAGGGACTACACGAGCAGGCACATGCTCTGACTGGTGACCAATGATAAGGGGAAGTGAGGGAAAAACAGCAATGAAGCTGTGAGCTAAGTCCAACCACATTCAATAGACTCCTGTGAATCCGGGTGGAGACCTGGTTGGCCAGCAGTTTGGCAAGGCCTGGGGACTCCTGGGCCCAGAGTCAGTGACACAGCCACAGAGAACTAGAGTAGAGAATGAAGCATCCAGCTGATAAGAAGAGAGGGCATATGTACAAGAACATCCACACTTGCAGATAATACCCACTTGACCTGCTTCAATGGCTGGACGATCAGAGCTCAACTAGAAAAAGAAAGAAGAGGAAAAAAAGAGACATCTGCTACAATTTGATGAACTTGACCTACACCTATGGATGGAGTAGATCAAAAGATGGAACAAATCTTTACAGTGAGGATCATTCCCACCCCCTCAATACACAGGATAGACAGGGATGGGCAACTTGGACACTGGCTACCCAAAATGAGGGGCTACAAAGGCAAGAAGTGACTGGTTTACAACCTTTCAAGAGGGAGCCTAGTTCCAGAGGGTGCGGAGGAAGGTAGAATCTCCACTGAGTAGTATCCAATCTGTCTGGGTGGGACTGATGCAAGGATATGGAGATAGTACTCATGAGGTACAATAGTGAATAATTGTTATCAGGACTAACTGTGAAGGTTGGAAATGTAAAGGTAGATGTTTTGTAGCAAAAGGAGGGGAGTGGTTGACTTTGCAGTCCAGGAGCAGAGGTCCCTGGGACCATCACGGGAGAAGAGCGGAGTATGGGATCCTATCCAGAGAAACAGTGACACCAAAGGTGGAGGCAGAGATGATGATGTGGAGAGATGGAGCGGCTGGGAACTCTAGATCCAGAGAGGGAGAGGGG